CATATGCATACTTATGGCCACTGCAGCACTATCCCAACAGCAAAACCATGAAAGCAACCTAAGTGCTCATCAACAGATGAATGAATAAGCAAAATGCAGTAAATACACGCAATGGGATACCATGCAAGATGAATGATGAGTCCTCGAAACATCTGTTAATGTGGATGAATCTTGGAGGACATTATGCTGAGTGAAATAAGTCAAGCACAAAAGGACAAATATTATATGATCCCACTTTTATGAAAGGACTGAAATACATATATACATAGAAAGTGATGGTCATTGGTGGCTATAAGGGATAAGGGGGAAGGGAAGGGAAATCACCTTTCGCTGACAGATACTTACAAGTTTTGGTGATGGGTAAGGTATCACCCAATGTAGGTGAAGAACACACAGGCTGACCAAGGTAAATTATGTCACTAAGAAGTCTACACATACACAGACAATTTGGTAAATGCTAGAGCATGTATCAGGGAGCATGGTGGCTCCATACGATAAGCACTGGACTACTAACCACAGGTCAGTGGTCCCAGGCCATCAGCTGCTTCTATGAAAGAAAGATAGGCCTTCTACTCTCGCAAAGATGCACAGCCTCAGAAACCCTATACAGGGTCACCTATACTATCAGTGGCTGTTCAGTTGACTCCCTAATGGCAACCCTGCATGTCATGTGTCAGTTCAGAAATGTGCTTCATAGAGTTTCCATGGCTTATTTTTCTGACGTAAACGGCCAAGCCATTGGGTAAACTCAAACTTCTAAGCTTTCTATTAGCAGTTGAGCTCCTTAACCACCCAGGGATAACAACTACGTATAATAACTCATTTAATCCTCACAGCAACTCCATGAAAAGACGCTATTACCAGCACCATGTTGGAGATGAGGAAACTGTGACCCGAGTGCTAGATTTGCGATTCAGACCTGGACAGCTGTGTGTGAGCCCATGCTCTTAACCACACAGCTGACACCGCCTCACATGTGACTAGGACTCCCTTTACATTTATTGCAGAGCAAAAACACAATCCAAATAAGCACTTGGAGTTACAGGATATTAAAACCTTTCTCCATCAAGGATATGAGCACGCTCTAAGAGACAATAATGGTAAAGGTATAATCGCCCTTGTACACTTGCCAAATCAGAATGTAAGAGGTTTTATGAAAAGTTTCAGAAATGTGGCTTACAGGGTAATGGTTTATGGTCAAGCTGCCTTTTGATCTCTCATGTGAAAAATATGTACTTACACATATTGCAGGAAAACCTCACTACTTCCTTCCTAAGTGTCGGTCAAAAACACTAATTACTTGACTAATTAGACTGTGAAACTTCCCTTACAGATGGCAAAAAATGAGCCATTTTCACCCCACAAATTTCGTTGTGACATGCTAGCAACAACAAAAAAATGTAGAAATGTTTCAATGGCTTCATTGTAGACAACATGAACAATTTAAACAAATTATATAAAAACAAATGAGACTAATGAAAATAGTCTGTTCTCTCATAAGGGGAGGAGGGGAAACAAGTCGATTCTGTAGAAACAAAGTAAATGAAGGACTCTGATGACAAGTTGTATCATTGTGGCAGGGTGTAAAGGCCGAGGACCAGACACATTATCCACGAACTGGGGCATCCCAGACAAGTCAGTCATTCTGCAACTCATCTGTGGTTTTCATCACGCTTTTCTGGCACTTTCTTTTTGTAGTGCATCGGCTGAAGCAGCATTGCTCCCCCGTGTTTTTCCCTTAGATATTCCCTATGGGGCAAAGTCTATCTCTGTCATACTGTGGTGGACTGTGAGTTGCTGTGATTCTGGAAGCTATGCCACTGGTATTTTAAATACCAGCAGGGTCACCCATGGTGGATAGGTTTCACACCTAAATGGTGTGAATTGAGCAATGTTTCAGAAGCATCATTTGCTGATGTGACACAACTCAAAATGGGAAAAAAAAAACCAACTGTAAACACCCATTAATAATCGGGACCTGGTATAAAGTATGAATCTTCGAACATTGGAAGTCATCAAAAATGAAATGGAATGTATAAAGATCATTATCCTAGGAGTTGAAATAGACTGGTGTTGGCTATTTTGAATAAGACATTCATAAGGTTTACTATGCCGAGAATGATAAATTGAAGAAGAATGGCATTTCATTGATCATTAACAAGAGCATTTCAAGATCTATCTTGAAGTACAATGCTGTCAGTGATAGGATAATATTCATATGTCTACAGTAGGACAACCAGTTAATATGACTATTATTCAAATTTATGTACTAATCACTAAAGTCAGTGATGGTGAAATTGAAGAGTTCTATCAACTTCTTTGGCAGTTCTAGCTCACCAGCTGCTCCTCAGAAACCCTATACAGGGTGGCTATGGGTTGGAACCGACTCGATGGCACTTCACAACAACCACATTAACTTCTTCGATCTGAAATCAATCAAACATTCAACAAAATGCATTGGTAATTACTGGTTATTGAATGTGAAAGATGGAAACAAAAAGGAAGGATCAGTAGTTGGAAATATCACCTTGGTGATAGAAACGATACTGGAGATCCCATAATACAATTTTTTTTTTTTTTTTGAGGTGTAATCATTGCAATTTATTCCCATTGTTAAATCCTCACATATTTCTCATCCCACCTGAGCACAGTATAGTGCAAGTAAAAAAGTACAAGTGAACGGTGAAAATAAGTGACAAATGGACTTCCCAGAGCATTCTTTAGTCTTGTCCCCCTGAAATTCATACAAAGAAAAATGATCAAATCTTAAAC